TAATAAACTTCATTTATAATTTGTAAAAGTGAGGTCGCTGGTGAACATTTTCCCTTTAATCTTCAGTAGAAAAAGTTTAAGAGGCCGGTTCTAAATTGCTATTTGTTTTGATGCACAAAGAGCAGTTATTTTGGAGAACAGCCTAATTTTCAGGGGGGAAAAAAACATTAAAATTGGCTTTAAAACGGAATTCATTGTTATAACAGCCGAACATTTTCCGTCATGAAATCTACTTGTAGCGTGATGGATTGGTAAACGATGTTTTGGCGATGAGGAAAAGCTTGCTTCAAGTTTTTTCATTTTGATGCTTTTATTTTTAAATCGAAAACTTTTATAGAAAACTTCTGTCCTTTCTTTAACTGTTTTATACGAAAGACAGTAAATACACACCTTTTCCAATATTTTAAAATTTATTTTAAAAACTTTCTATAATTTTCCGAACTTCGATTTCTTTAAAAATATTTAAGAATCAAAATACACTGCCCTACAATAAGGGAAGATACATTTTCAGTTTTTGACATTGTTTTTAAAAATTCCTCAAGAAATACAGGATTATTTTACCTCTTTAGTGATGTTTAGTTCACGCAATTTTTCATACTTAGCAATAAGATTTAAAGCTTTCAAAGGATTGGGAGACCATCAATAACTCACGAAAGAAAACAAGTATTTTTGAACACCCTATGCCAGAAAATCAAGAAAATAAGTTTGTAACTTGTATCCTTTACTTTAGTAGTTATTTATAATAACAGCATAAAATTTCGTTAACTTAGAATAAAATTAATGGAGATATGGATATTTTTTTATTTATAAACCGCATTAATAAATATTAATTGAGATATAGATATTTTTATAAAAATTAAACTTTTTGTCTTACGTTTTTTTCTTGTTATAACTTTATAAATATTCAATGGAATGAAATTTTTTTTTTGGAGCAATTTGAAATCAATACCCCAAATCGAAACCTTTTATCGTTTTAAGCTTTCTTTTAAAAAGTACAAAAACTATTTAGAAAATTGCTTAAAATTAACTTTTTAAAACATTCAAATCAAACTTTTTCATTAGTTGCCAAATACAATTCACCACAAAAAATGAAAAAAAAAAAGGTTTTAAATGTTTTCTGCGCATTATAAAAGGACTACTTTAAATATTTATATCTTGCACAGTTTTTAACGATTTATTTTTAAATTTTAAATCAATAATTTTGTAATTAATTTTAAATTGCTTCAAACATTTTGTTTAATTCCATTGAATATTTTTAAAGTTATTGCAAAAAGAAAAAAAAAACGTACAAAAAAAATAGTTTTTAATAAAAATGTCCATATCTCCAGAAATATTTACGCTAGGTTTGCAAAATTTTATGCAGCTATTAAAAATAACAACTTAAGTAATCGATACAAGTTACAAGCTCATTGTTTGATTTTCTGGCAAAAATACTTGTTCTCTTTCGTAATTTATTGTAGGTCTTACAAACCTCTGAAAGCTTTAAATCTTATTGCTAAGTATGAAAAATCGCATGTACTAAACAGCTCTGAAGTTACAAAATAATCCTGTAAGTATTTCTTGAGAAATTTAAAAACATGTCAAAAATTAAAGTCCATTATTGTAGGGTAGAGTAAATTAAGATATTAAAAATTCAAAAAAAGAGTAATACTTTTTAACAAAAACTTTTATTATTTATACTTTAAATGGGAACTTTCCAAAGGGCATATTTTTACATCAAACTGTTTTTAAGTATAGTTTCCATGTAACTAATTTCAAATTTTCAAAAATTTCCTCAAGATAACAGCAAAATACACAAAAAAATCTTTTTACAAACATGCAAATCGTGTTTTTCTCCTAAACGATTTATAAATGTGGTTTATTCCTATATAACACCAAGCTTTCAAAATACTATTTCTTTCTCAGTAGTTATCTGTCCAGTTAAAATTGTTACCACACTTTTAATTTCGTAACAGAGCTTTTAGAAATACAACTATTTGTATCAACGGGGAATTGTGAAAACCGAAATGAGCCAAAAACTTTAAAAGCTTGGTAAAATTAAAGTTGAAAAATCTCTAATACTGCATGCATTAAAAATCAAGTTAAGTAAATGTGCCCATGTTTATTGATATTACTTTTTTACCAATTAAAGTATAACTATTACTTTTTTTTAAGGAAACTAATGTTTTTTTACGTTGCTGTTATTAGAAAAAAAAATCTAAATTCTTTAGACTTAAGAAATTTTTTTTGATGATCAACTATTGATTATCTCTCAAAATGCACTAATAATTTCGATAATTTACGGATAATTCACTCTCATTCTTTCGTCTTACTTAGCTGTGCACTTTTAATTCCGAATTTTTCACTACAACTTATCTGAATCCCTGTTTTCATATGCAATACATTTCGTAGATAGTTTGTAGAAAGAAAAATACAGAGAATGCTGCCCACAAAGAGTTGGGAAAAAAAGGAATTTCAATAACGTTTGATTTAATAGTCGGATTTTCACGAACTAAGATGCAATCTTACTGTTTCGAGGGCTTAAACTTTAAATGCGTTAATTTATTTGTACAGACGATATTTGTGTAAACATAAAACTATATTTTGTCTTTCTCAACGCACGTTAATAACATATTTAAGAAAATCCAAAAATTTTTGCATTTTCTCAAATAGTTCCAAAGATATGACTTAGTTCGCAAATGGTGAAGTTAGCATTAAGGGGCTCAAAACCTTTAATCGCTCACCAGACTAAACTATTGGGACCCGATCATACTTACCAGATTGCGGGTATCATTTATATTTTGAGGATCAAGAACTCAAATCTGTCGTAAAAAAATTGTGTTTATTTAGAGAAAGTAAATCTTCATGTTAATTACATATTAACTTTGTAAACTAGCTATTTTTTCAGGTTTATCTCTCAAACAATTAAGTTAGTGCGTAAAAATCCAATTATTAGATCAAAAGTAATTCGATGTACTGTAATCGATTTTGCGGAGGCTGACTCTTTTTCTTTCAGAACCGTCACTGAAGTCCACTGGGGAAAGGACTAGCCAGGCGGTATCACCTGCCCATACACTCTGTAGCGTGGAGGCAGCAGGTTCGAACCCTGAATGTATCTTCGAGCTCTCATTCACTGAATCGCACCTTCTGTCTTTCTACTTGACAAAGGCTTATAAGTCGGTCTTATGTATCTGAGCACACAAGCCAGCATGTATGTGTACTAAGAAATAAATAGGGGCCTTCCTGGCCAAGCCGTATAGTCCACCAAACGCTATGGGAAGCGTGGAGGTGGAGAGTTCGAATCCCACTATAACACTGGATGTATTCTGCGTGATGTCTTTCACTGAGTTGTTCTACCTGTCCTTCTACTCGACAAGAGTTTAATAAGCCTAAAAAATTGAGCACACAAGTCTGCAAATATATGTAATTTCAATAAAGAAATAAATGAAGTCCACGGGGATCACCAGCAAGCTATTTATTAGCTTTTTATCTTTTTGCTAGAGAATGACGGAGCAAACTTTCAATATTTTTATAAATTTAAAAAAAAAAAAAAATTGCTGTGAAATTTCCTAATTTTTAACTAGTATAGAGTTCATGATTAAAACAATATATTTTATCTCAACAATGTATAATTTAAATTTGAAATTCTAATCACACGACTTCTTGAAACCAAAGTGGTAGTTAAAATAAGAAACTATCTACCACTCTAAATCATAAATTCACTAACATTTTTATAGCCTAGTTACTTTTAACTTCCAGAATACAAGACCAAAGTGGCTTTCCCCATTCCTCCCCCCCCCCGTCCTGTATTGAGAGTTTCATCACACTGCTTTGAGAACAATGTATTTTTAGCACAACCCTCACGCACCTTCAAGTTTATAATTTTCCTTACCAGACTGATTTAGTGCAAATATAATATTACTTTAATGGCACTTAAAATCCTCAACCACAAATACGCTTTTCTAGTTACACATAGAAACAAGAAGGACTTGTCATTGAGATTAGCTAGGGAAAGAAGTTAGTGCCTCTAACTTTTTTCAGCTTAGTTTTTTCAGTTAGTTTTAGTTCAGTTCAGTTAATTTAATTTAAAGAAAAAAAGTTCGAATTTAATTTTTCTTAAAGGAAAAAAAAAAATTAAAAAAATAAATAAAAGAAAATTTTTTTTCCAACTGGGACGAAAATTTTACTTTTATTAATTACATTATTGTAAGAGTTTTATACATGCAATACAAAAGGATTTTAATAATGAGTACATTTTTATTTGACTAATAAAAACAATTATGATATTCAAAATTTTTTTAAGTCTTCTTAAGTTTTTATTGGGTCACAAACGGCATACTTTCTGGAAGAGGAGTACAGTAGAACGAAAAAAGGGATAATGATTGATTTTAGATAACGGAGGAAGAAAACCAAATTATCTAAACAATAATTGTAAATAAACTGATAGCTGACATAATTAGGATTTTTTACAGGTTTTGTATTAGGGTCCTATGGCTAATTTTACACCTTACTAGAAATAGATTGCAAAAATTTTGTAGCTAAAGTTACTAGAATTTTAAAAACTGGGGGATAAAATTTTTTGAGGAAATTTGACAATTTATGTAAAATTAATGCAATAAATTTGGCAAACTATTTAAAAATAAAGATTAGATTTAAATATTTTAAAAGAGAAATTTCTGTAAAAATGTTATAATCTGCCTGACAGATTTTTTTTTTAATAATATGGCAGTATTATTAATTTTTTAAACTACTAAACTAAAGTTTTGTATTCACTTGTAAAAATTGAAAGATTTCCAGCATAAACATGAAATGAAACATTTAATAACCCCATTCCCATTTTTTTCGAACTAAATATAAAATTTAATTGCAATTTTAAAACTAAAATACTTCAAAAATTTAAATCATTAGTCTAATAAAATATTTAAACTACATTGATAACAAATGAAAATGTTTGAGAAACATAAAATTTTTTACACATGCAAAAAAAAAGGAATCAATAATAATATTGCATAAAATATTACCTTGGGATCTTTTTCATAGTAATATTGCTGAGTTCGAATCCAACGTGAAACAAGGTGATCTTTGACAGTATGTGCAAGAGCAAAATAATAGTCACGCTGAGTTGCAACATTTCGATCTTTTACTAACGTATAATGCAAATGCCGATTAAATGTTTTTTTAACCTCAGCAATATTTTCAACCCCGGCGATCCCCCGAACACTGATTTGTTTCCGTTTATCTTGATCAGTACGAGGAACAGCTGACATTTTTGCTTTGATAATCGCACAGGTCCGTCACTGAATACGAAAAGTCCTCGAACTGATACCTCTCCGAATATCCGTTTCTCCTTCTCTGACAGAAAGGTCGCGCATGCGCTCTCATTACGCTCATTACGTAACCTTTAAACTACTGCTTGTCAGAGAAAGCATGTCAGAGTTCCGATTTCTCCTATGCTACAAGTACTTTCTTTACACGTTACAGCCAGTTGGCGAAAAACGATCTGTAGTTAATATATGGCTTGGCAGGAAAATGGGAAGCCAATCTTTCCGAAAAATGAGCCAATGGAGCGGGAATTTTGAATTGCTTTTAAGATAGGAAAAGTGATTAATGCTATTTCATAGTCACTCTCATTGCAAAATATTATTAATAGTAGCTAAAAAAAATTATAAAATTAAAATTATAATCTATTTTACGTATAAATCATACGAAATATAGATTATAATAATATATAACTTGGTACTCGTATATATACTTGGAATTAAATTAAGGAAATTATTTAAACCAAAATACAAAGTGAGTTCAAAACACAAAGCATGTAAAAAATGCTGTAAATAAAACTGAAACGTTACTTTTAGTTTACACACTCACTTCAAATGTTAATAGTTGGAAATTCAAATTCAAATGAAATAAATGAAATTCAAATTGTTATGAAAAATTGTTGAAAATTCAATGATGGTTGAAAATTCAAATGTTAATAGTTGGTATATGGAAATCCAAATAAAATAATAATGATAAATGAAGCATCCTAATTATTGAAGATCTAAGCATTTTATCCAAATGTTTTGCATTACAGTTTTCTGATATCCACGTTAGACTACTAAAGTAAATTTAAAGTCCAATTAAAGGGCTTTACTAAAAAGTATCGCTATAATCAAGTTTATAATACATATTATAAGTTAGGCTGCATATTACTTACAATATTAGTTTGATTTTAGCCTTTCATAAAAAAAAAGATTAAAATCAAAAAGTTAATGTTACAATCAATACGAATATTAAATATATATAAATGTAGACAAATTACAAATAATGACTCATAAACAGTAAACTATAGTTTTGATTCTACAAGAATTGAAACTATAGTATATCTGCTTATGAGATATCATTTGGGTTTCCCCTCACTTTTTTTCGCTTTATTCGTAGACTTTCGCTTTTCATGTAATTATAATAATTCAAATCATAAAGAATTATCAGATGTAGACGAAACTCCCACAAACTTGGCAAAAATTCAAAGACAAAATGAAATCCAGTTGAAAAATATTGATAAACAAATTTCGATTATTAAAAATAATGCGAAAAAAATGAAATTTTCATATTTTCATTTTCTTCTCATTTTTTTTTTTGCTTCAAGCTAATTTCTTTAAAATTGTTTAATTATTATTATTACCATTGAATTTTGTTTGCAAAATTACCTATTATTTCAAATTTATTTTTAAATAAAAAGTTGCCACTCGTCCTTTTTATAAAATTTAAAATTACCGACAAATTATTTTCTAAATCATAATATAAATAGTTCAAAATCTAAGTCACTAGAAAGTCAGAAATGGCTTTATGTTCCTCTGAATTTATTTAACTTATATGATTGCTCATCGGACACAAATGTGTCCACAGTTTTACTGTACAAAATGGAACAATAAAAGCAGGACATATAATTGAAAACATCTTGAGTAATATTAGGAAAAATACAGTAAATTTAATAGGCTTTTGACATCATATCATGTTGCTTTTGTTTCAAAGCGATTTTTTAAAACATGCTATGACACTTAAGTGTTATTTATACTTAAGTATTTGGTATTTCATGGTATTTATAAAGATTTGTTGACAATAAAATATTCTTGTTGCAAAATATTCTATAAATAGGATTTGTTATTGACTTTAAAAATACCTTTGCCATTTCTCGAATTATTGTAACATTTTATTAAGTCTGGATAATGTTATAGCGTAATCAAAAAGATTATTGTTATATTTCCCAATAATAGTTTTTTTTAAATAATGTAATTTTTACGATTGCATTCGTAAGTCTGCCAAGAATAATCAGTAATAAGTTCGTCAAGTTTGCTGGTGGTGTTAGTCGAAAGTCCGAAAACATTTGGAATTGATTTAATAATTGCTAATGTTAAAATGGTTCGATTAGAATCTCTTTTCCTAAGCTGTAAGTGAAAGCTGTTTACACGGACTCTTATTTTATGAGGTCACATTTCATGAATACAAAGATTTTCAGCATAAACATTGTAAGTCAAATTTAACAATTTTAGTCTCTTCCTTTCATTATTTCACAAACTTTACATGATTTCAAGCTAATGAAATGATAATAATAATTCTCTATTTAATAGATTAACAAAGTAAAACAAAATTAAAATTTAATTTCATTTCGAAAAAATGTTTATACAAATTAATAATATTAACGCATGTTTATTTGTGCTTTTAAACTTGTTGTGTGAAAAGAGATTATCCGACCTAAAAGCATGGGATAGTTAATTATGTTGCTTTTGCATTGAAGTAGATGAAAAATTAAAATTGTTTTGCTGTGTGGAATTTTAGCAGTATTTTAAAGATGACAGTTGCTAATTAAAAGGAAAATTTACCTCTCTCCTTTTAACTTACGTGAAAATCAAGAAATGTTCTTATGAGAGGGGCACGTAATTTTGATTTTAATATCAAAAAATGGCTTTAATAGCTGCTAATTGTGCCTACGCACATTATGGACTTTCACGCATATTAAACCAAAAATAATTTTAGATTTATTTGTTTGCTTCGATCTAAAATAATCATTCTGGGAAAGTGTATAAATTGAAACCTTCAACATCAAGAAAAACGAATTTATCACTAACAAAAAATTTTTTTTTTCAAAATTCGAAGCAAATTTCACACGTGGAAAGGCATAAAAATATTAAATAGCTGTTTCTAGGTCACTTGTGTGTGCTACATAACATTATCCAAACATTTTGTTTGGCATTACATAACAACATTATCCATATTCAAACATTTTGTTTGGCATTACATAAAATAGGAATTGCGAATTACAGGAATTTTGTGAAATTTTTGGAGGTTCTGCACAAACCATTAATTTGCATAAAGAAAATCTAGTTTTTCATTCAAAAAATCATACTATATATGAAAAAGGAGAAATGAACCAAAAATTTAACAGAATTTTTAATTATCAGATCATATCGGAAACTTTTTATTAAATTTTATTTTGCGCTTTATTTTACAAATTTTATCTCTTAAAGCAAATGCAAAATATGACTAATTCATGCAAAAAATTCCTAGAAATGTTACTTAACTTTAAGTCCTTTTAACTTCTAAACTAAATCATACTAATAACCTTATGTTGAAAGTTGCTTTGAACTGACCGATGTTTATGAGAAAAAAAACTGTCACGTGACTGTTTTTCTTTTACAGTACTCGAAGGAGAGAGTGAGTTCTTCCTCGATTTCGTCATTATTTTATCATTTATTTTAATTTAATATAGTTGACTAAAATTTGTTACATGTTTTTTGTTTAAATAATCTTATAGCTTAATAATCACGTTTTTTATTTTTTTTACTTTCATTTTGCCATAGACTTTTTATTCGCACTATATTTCAAGATCGAATTAAATAAATTAATAATAAGTATTATACTTGCATGCATATCAAACTAGTTTAATATTTTTCCGTAGTAACTTCATAGTTATTTTTCACTTGTTATTGACGAAATTGTTGTCTTAAGCTTACTATATCTCACGACTTTTCATTTAAAAGTTTTATTATCATTTATTATCATAGGAATCATAGTAATAACCTTATGTTAAAATTTGCTTTAAATTGACCGATGTTTATGAAAAAATCAATCAGGTGACTAATTTTTCCACAGTACTCGAGGGAGAAAATGAGTTCCTCCTTGATTTTAACAACATTTTATTATTTATTTACATTTTATACAGTTGACTAAAATGTGCTATATCTGTTTTGTTTAAATAATTTTATTGCTTAATGATTATATTTTTTATATTTTCATTTTGCCACAGGCTGTTTTTATTCGCACTACTTTTTATGATCGAATGAAATAAGTTGATAATAAGTATTATACTTGCATAAGTATCAAAAGAGTTTAATATTTTCCGGCCGTAATTTCATAGTTATTTTTCACTTGTCATTGACAAAATTGTGGTCTTAAGCTTCTTAATCTCTAGACTTTTCATATTTTCTTTATTTGAGTCTTTACTGCTCATTGATACTTTGTAATTGAGCCTCAACAAAATTTTCATATCTTTTTGAAAATTTTCGTGCTTGTATTTTACTTGCGAAATTGGGTCAAAAACAGCCATTATTTGTTTTTCTTCATTTCGTTTTTGAGAATGATTAATGGCAAATAAAAGGTTTTTGCATAGCTCTCGAAAGGCATTTAAAAAAAATATTTTAGATAAAACAAATAGCTCCAAAATTGCCATTTTTCACTATTTATGTTCCGTTCCTAAAAATGTAAATTTTTCATCAGCAAAACGGCGATTACTTGAAATACTTAACGTTAAATCAACCAAAAAATTTTCCTTATTTCGGTATCTATACCAAAACCCGAAGCTATGACCAGTTCTCATCCCCCCCCCCAAAAAAAAGAGACTATTTTCAGCGTCATAAAAAATATGCGCCTCACACTTTTTTTTATTGTCATTTATAGCTGCAAAAGTATAATATATTTTACGGAAAACATTCTTATTTTAATAATACTATTATAAAATTGCTGTATCATTAAATAAAGTAAATAGTAGTAATACTTAAATATTTAGAATAATTATGGAAAATTAAATGACTTCTCAGTACATTTATCTATAATTTTTTTCATAGGAAGGAAAAACTCGCTGAAATAAAAATATGCGGAAGCTAATGCAAGAAATGAAATCTAAAACGCTGATAACAACACACAATGCAACTCACAGCTAGAATAAATAGTTTTTACTTGTTTCATTTTTAACGTTGAATTATTCAACTTCTCTTATAGTCAGTTAAGAAATATATTCAATTGTTGAAAATTGTTTTAGCAGTTGCATAGTTTTTTTTAAATTTAATATCATATTACTTCGAAATGT